AGTAGGTCTTCGGCCGGTACCCTCAATATGCGGCTGTATTTTTCCAGTTTCCCGAAGTCTTCGTTCTACCGCCGAAAAAGTTTGTCTGTGGGGAACTTGACGATTTGGATATCTCTCATTATACGCTCTTGTTGCCGCAGCACAGTTTTTGCGACATTCAAAATACACTTGTAGCATGTCCACATATTCATCATTAGTAAAATTTGGCATAATTCTTGTTAATTTACACCCAAAAAGTATTTAGCTGATAACAGTGACAACTTACAGAAGAGTTAATTGTGACAACTGGCATGACAGCAGCACACTTAGTTTTTCTTTGATTGATTGCAATCATATACGGTGTGAGGTGAATGGTAATACATTTTATTTTTTTATTAATAAACGAAAAGTTTTAAAGGAAAATTGCTAGAGAGGTAAAAGTTTCTAAAAGAACCAGTTTATCTAATGCGTATTTTTGGATATCGAGTTTTTACGAAATATAAAAGTTATGGCAAAAAATGGCTTGAGGGGTGGTTATTTCAACCCCTTTCGAGGGGTTAAAATTTTCGAAAAATAGTTGAAAACTCGCATCTGTATTAGTAAACAACCTGTAAAAAATTTGTTATTTGTACCTCGTTCGGTTTTCAAATTACAGCCAATTTTCATAATTTTTTTGGAAACTTTGATGGCCCATATCTCTTCAGGGTTGAACATTTTACTAAGGCGATTTTTTTGCAGATCGTGTTCTTTTGAAATGTAGATTCACTGGTATCATTTATGCTACTCCATTCAAAAACACCATGTATATCCGGTGATTTTAGCGAAGTTTGAAGTCACTGGCCTGCGACGTTATAATCTCAATTTCAGTTAGTTCTAAGCCCTGTTCTCGGATTAAAGTATCTCGAATATTCTGAATTTGTGTCCATTAAGTGCATTGCTATTCTTTAAGTGACACTTGTGTTCCTTTGTCCACGTGGTGACAAATTTGTCTAATAAATAAGTAAATAAGTATGTTAAGTAAATAAGTAAATTGCTTGGCAAAGTTTGTGTTTAATAACTCTAATATTATCTTTAGATACTATTAGAGTTAGACTCGTCAAATTTGCCCCACTATAACAGTAAGTAAATAAGGTACTGGATATTTCAAAAGAAATACATATCAGACCTATCATATCATATACTGGCATGTGTACGGTGTAGACGTATCAGTTAGCGCTCCGCAGTTAAATACAATATCCTTGTAAAAGTTGTCCTTGTCCTTAGCAGATAAGGTGAATGAAAGTTTCATCATGAGAAAAATAAGGAATTAATTGAAAAGGTAGAAAATAAGTTGCAGAAAGTCGAACAAGAAAATATATTGTTAAATAAGAGAGCAAAGTATTTGGAAAAATCTCTTATAAAATCAACAATACGTATTAATGGACTTGAGAATGTTGAAGGGAAGGATAAAGCTGAAACTATGGTAAATAATTTATTTAACGATGTGTTGAAATTAAATATTTCACCTAATGCTATAGCAGATATTTACTGTAAAGTATCGGATTTAAAAATCGGTGAGCAAGAAACGAACAGTAAAAACGGAGCCACAAAAAGTACTGTTGTTGTTAAATTCACTAACTCTAGAGATAGACAATTAGTTCTTAGCGATAGAAAACGTTTGAAGGGCAGTGGAGTAAAAATATACGAGGAGCTATCAAAAGATACCTTAATTTTGTATAGGAAGGCCGCTGCGAAATATGCTAATCGAAATGTATGGACTTTTCAAGATAAGGTGTTTATTAAAATTAATAACATTACGAAGAGGATTTACGTCGAAGATTTCCAGAATTAATATACAGGTTGCGGGTCGCTGGGAACTCTCTCTTGTTCATATATACATATTTCTTTTTCCTTATCTTTGTAATTAATTATTTCTGTAGTCGTGTTTATTTTTGTTTTTTAGGTATATCTACTTTATGTTAGTTTATTATAAAAATTGCAGGGGGCTGCGAACAAAATTTAATGAGGTATAGAACAATACATTAGATTGTCACTATGATGTTGTAATGTTGAGTGAGACATGGTTGGTAAGCGGGATAGTTGACGGTGAGATATTTAATAGTTCACTTTATTATATAAATTAGATGTGATCGAGGAAATGACCTAAGAGGTGGCGGTGTTTGCATGGCCATTAAAAAGGCAAATAATGTAAAGATAACAAAAGTTACAAAATATCAAGAACGGTCAGAAGTATTGGCTGTGAATGTTAAATTTAGAAAAGTTCATTATACATTTATTTTGTTGTACATTCCACCAAATACAAATAGTAATACTTATTCTGAAATATATGACGTTGTTGAGCAAAATTCAGTGTGTCCTAATGTATATGTAATAGGAGATTTTAACAAAATATTCTTGACTTTGTACTGACATATAATGATAATAAATTATGTGTCGTATGTGAGGCTATACTGTTACAAGATTCTCATGATCCCGCGCTTGAAATTGACATTGGTTCTTGTGATCAATTGGGACATAAGTATTCTGAAATAAACGGTAAACTTTTATATAACTTTAAAAAGGCAGACTTTTTGAAGATGAGCTATATAATGCAGAATTGTGATTGGTCTGAAGTAACCTGCAAATTGGATGTAGATCTGGCTGTGGCTAAATTTTATGATATAATTAATGATGTATTTGATAGAACTGTAAAGAAATTTAATATTAAACAATCTTATAGGAATAAATATCCTTGTTACTCTACTAAAGATATACAAGTGCTGCTTAAAGAAAAAGAGAAGTATAGGAAATTAAAATGTATTTCTGACACATATAAGAATAAATTTATTAGTTGTAGAAAACAATTAAAAAAACTTATCAGTAAAGAACATCAGAATTACTTAAGAGAGGTTGAGAATGGGATAACTAGGGACACTAAACAATTTTTTAATTATATTAAAGAAAAGAGAAAATTAGTATATGAAAATGCACAGTTTTACGACAATAATGTCCCTATCTTACATACTAGATTTTTTGCTAAATACTTTTGTTCAGTATATGCATCAGTTCCTGCAGACTACAATACCAGTTACTTAACCAGTTACAATAACATTCCTATATTTAATATCTTATCAATTACTGAGTCTGATTACATTAAGTCGGTGAAAAAACTTAATGGAAAAAAGGCTGCTGGATTTGATGGTATACCACCGCATATCATAAAGGGCTGTTCTGATTATCTGAAAATACCACTATTATATATTTATAATTTATGTTTAGCAAAAGGCATATTTCCGCATGCGTGGAAAATATCCAGTGTAACTCCGATTTTTAAAGCAGGTGAGAGGACAGATATTAAAAATTATAGGCCAATTTCTGTGTTACCTGCTCATGCCAAGTTATTTGAACAAATTTTGTATAATTATATGGGCCCACTTGAGTAGTTTCATTTCTACATCACAACATGGTTTTATACCGAGAAAATCGTCCTTAACAAATCTTTTATCATTTAATATTAAAATTCATCAAGCATTTGAACGAAAAATTCAAGTTGATACAATTTTTACAGATTTTCAGAAGGCTTTTGTTCGTTACTATATTGTTAAAAAATTGTGTTTTTATGGAGTTTCTCATAATACATTTAATTTGTTAATCGTATCTGAAAGATGCGTTTTATGGTAAAATTTGGTAATATGTACTCTAACGAATTTAGAGCACTTTCTGGGGTACCGCGGGGTTCAAATTTGGGACCCCTGTTATTTTTATTTTTTATCAATGATTTACCGGAAGTGGTGTCAAGTTCAACATGTTTACTGTTTGCTAATGACTTGAAAATCTTTAGAGAAATAGAGTCGAATCACGACTGCAAACTATTGCAAGACGACATTAATGTTGTTATTAATTGGAGTATTAGTAATCAACTTGATTTTAATATTAAAAAATGTTCTATTATGTCATTCACAAGAAATAGTGCTCCAATTATTTTTTCTTACTTAATGAATCAGACCGAACTTAAAAAGGGTAACATCTGTGAAGGATCTTGGTGTGACTGTGGATACAAAGTTATCATATAGAGGACATATAGATAATATTGTTAATTCGGCTTTTAAATCATTAGGATTTATAATTAGAGAGTCCAAACATTTAAGTAATGTAAAATGTCTTGTTTTATTACATAACTCGTTAGTTAGATCTAAACTAGAGTACTGTTCTGTTCTATGGCATTCTCAACCTAAGAAACATTTAGATAAATGTGACAGTGCAAAAAAGTTTCTGCGTTTTTTGTATTTTAAAAAATATAACAGACCTCCTGATTATAACATTACCAGAACAATGCATTTATGTCAAGAGTTTCAATTGAATACACTTTTTAATCGCAGAAGTATTGCGTCATTAGTTTTTGTCTATAAAATACTAAATAATCTTATAAATGACTCGTATATTTTATCATTATTTAAATTTAATATTTCGCCCATAACAGCCAGACATTACCGTTTACTTCTTATACCTGTTGTTAAAACTATTTACAGTTCACCATTTTTAGTCATGTCTCGTTTGGTTAACCATATCTCATTAACACATAATATTGATTTTTTCCAACCATCGATGTACAAATTTTATAATAGAATTCGAAATTTATTCAATTATAGCTATGTACCTTGATTCGCACCCTATATTTTTCTTTTTATATTTTTCTCTTTATATTTTTATTATTATCAATATGTTTAATTGATGTAAATTGCTGCAGTTCTCATGCTACTGTTGTTACCATGCACATTATTTGTAAGAATGGAAAATCATAACATTTACTGATTTTCCATGTAATTAGACAATTTGTCTGTTTGGAATGAATAAATAAATAAATATTAGTTATGTAATATTTACTTGCTTCTGCAAAATGTGGAAAAATGTTGAAAGATTTTATTCCGAATTATTTTTATTTCGAAATATTTTCATATATCCGAAAATTATATTGATATTGATGGTATTACAGAACCTTATCATGGACTATCTATTGGGTACAATTTTTTAACGAAACTTACTTGTGTCGCGAATATATTTGTAAATTCTGTCATTTTCTTCCTTGGATGTGACAGATACAAGATCCATATGCATCATTTTGCATATTTGAAGTGCTTCTTGGAAGGTTCCCTAAAATTACAGAAATAGTATATGTATTTAAAAAATATAATAATACCAATAAACAATACTCTTCTCTTATTTGAACGAAAATTATTTAAGCCTAAAAGCCAACTGCGTGTGCAGAAAAAAAGACGATTTATTGTTTTTCTGCAGGTGTGAAAGAGGAAAAGTAACAGAACAGTATTGAAATGTATTTTTATTGGATTGAATTTTTTAAATTAGTTTTATTTTTGTAGGATACCTTAAAATATCTTCCTAGGAAATAGCTCTTGTTGTTCAAGTGAAACAGTGGTACATTGGCGGACATAAACGGATTCTCGTATATGCTTTTCCAATCTGAAAAAAGTAAAACAAAATAAAATAAAAATAAAATTGGAAAGATAATAATACGAAAAAGGTACCAAATGTATCGAAATAATTTACCAACCTATTCTTTCTACTTATAAAACAAAACATGAAACCGACGAACCTACCTAACGATGCAGTTTATGCCTATATTCTTAGGCAATACTCGTATATCAAATTTTTTATGGTACATACCGACATTCTATTGCTGAGAAGCATTTTTTAAGTTTTATACGGAATTATTCAAAACATTAAAAACATATCATTAAAAATAGAACCGATGTTACTAAAATAAGTTGTAATAAAATATTTAGAAAAAAAAAATTAATTTGCTGCACTTAAAATCACACTATTAAAATATCTATTATTCAAGTGTTTTTGTATACCCTCACCATTTGCTTTTAAGGATGATTTTACAAATCGTTCTTAGTTCTGTTACTACTGTAATGTGTGTTACGGTTACTTTCTTTTATATATGTCTTTGAAATCACAGGAAAATTTCCTAAAACTTTGGTCATTACCAAATTTTCCTAGACAGAAAGGTAAAAATGGGCAGATGTTATGTTAATTGCCCTGGTCATCTACTGCTTTTTATTATTGCGTTGTGAATCATCTTGTGTAACAATGTTCTACATTTACCCGATTGAAATTAATATGTTTTTCAGACATCAGATATTCAACAAGATAGGCAAAAAATAATTTATATAAATGTCCTTTATATATTACAGAGGATGTTTTCAAAAGAAGTAGCACAAATGATACCGGTGAATCTACAGTTAAAAAGAACACGTTTTGCATAAAAATGACCTTAGCAAAATGTTCACTCCTTAACTGGTACAGCCTCTCAAAGTTTCCAAAAAAATATAGATTAGCGGATGTAATTTAAAACCAAAAAAGGTATAATAGTCAAAGAACCCCGCACATACCTTATGGTAATTGGTCTTTCGGTAAAAAATTGATATGTTGTTCCTTTTTTATTACTGATCAAAAGTCTTCATGGCTACGAAGCTCCAAATGTACATCTGGATACGGTGGGGCCCACAAAAGAGTCAAAAACAGTGAAAAATTTATTCACTCTATAAATTTTTTGACATATAATGTAGTAAATATAACGTGTTTGACATATAATGTAGCTTGTTTATCAATGATTACATGCGTATTTGATAGAAATCTGTAAAATGCTCTCACAAATAAAGAATAACGATAATTATCGCTGACATTAGAGTAACTCGATGTGCACCACAAGGAGGTTATCAAGTCGGATTTTGCATATCACTTTGCCTTGAAAAGGACAGTTTGTTTGTGTGTATGTGCGCGGGTGGATGTGCGTGTATATTTTCAATAAGCACAAAATACTGTACATTTTTTTAAATACACATTTTATCTTAATATTATCGATTTTTATTTATATGGTTTTATATTACTTCTTACATTTACTTATATACAAGGTAGCCCATCGAAAACGTACCGCAAGGCATTACAGGGTAGTAAAGAACTTTTCGGCAAAATCCAAAAACAGGTCAAATTTGTTTCTGAGGGGGGACAACTTTTGGCTCAAAAAGCATACCAAAATCTTCAACCCTCTAAGTGGGGGTGCTATCCCCTAAATTTTTTCAAATGGGAATGGGGGTCAAGTGGGGGGTCATTAGAAAGGGCTTTTAATTCTCTATACATCGATTCTTACTTTTTGAAAATCGATTCATTATTTTAGAAAATATGCAGCTTTGAAAATACGAACAATATTTTTGACGAGAAATGCGAAAATCGATTTAATTTTACTTCAAAACTTACGGTATTAGTCAAGTAAATGCTGAAAATGTTGTCCGCCAACTTGCATACAATGATACAGGTTGTCTTCAAACCGTTGTCGAACATTCTGGAGCACTTGCGGTGTTACTTCGCGACATACATTAATGATTCGTCCTCGCAGATCTTCCAAGGTATCAGGTGGAGTGCTGTAAACTTTGCTTTTAATGTGCCCCCAGAGAAAGAAATCTAAAGGATTTAAGTCGGGTGACCGAGGGGGCCACTCAATTGCACCTCTTCGTCCTATCCAGCGTCCTGGAAACGTCTCATTTAGGTAATTGCGCACATTGAGCGAGTAATGTGGAGGAGCTCCGTCTTGCTGGAAAATCAGTTCGTGTTCATTGTAAGCAGGGTCGTCCTCTATGATATTTGTTAGAGCTGGGTCGATGACATTTTGTAGTAAATCCAAGTACATATCGCCTGTCAAATTTCCAGGAAGGAAAAAAGGACCTACAATGGAATTTCCAAAAATACCTGCCCATACATTCAACTTCTGGGGGTGTTGGGAGTGTGTCTCATGGAAAATCCTTGGATTGGTATCAGCCCAGTAACGACAATTATGGCGATTCACTAAACCATTCAAGAAGAACGTACACTCGTCCGAAAAACACACATTAAAGAGGAAATTATCGTTTATCGCTCGTTCAGTCATTATTTCGCAAAATTGCAAACGACGATCAAAATCGTCTTCATTTAGCTCTTGCACTAGCCGAATCTTATAAGGATGGAATTTGTATTTTTTTAATATTCGTTGGACACTTGTACGACTCACTCCTGTCGCAGTAGCCAATTGCATTGTACTCAGCGTACTATCCATTGCCACTTGCCCCAATACCGCTATTTCCGTAGGTTCATTTAGTACCGGATTTTCAACCTGCCTCTTTTTGTTATGAACGGAGCCAGTTTCGCGAAATTTGGCCACCAATTCGCGAACAATTTTTCCAGACGCATGTTTCTCAGGATGCCGTTGGTTGAACAGTTCGGCGACCCGATTTCCGCATTCATTGTTTTTGAAAAAAAGCTCAATAATTTCTACTCTTTCTGGAATTGAGTACACCATAATTAATCAATTTAAAAGACTCGGCAGTATTGGTACTCTTCAACTACAAGTCACAAGACAGTTATCTAGCAACTTCTTGTGGCCTATCTAAATACGAAACAAAAAGCGGACAATTTTTTGCTCACCAAAATCAGGCTAAAGAATTCGCAAATCAAAAAAAAAAACAGCGAATTCTTTTGAAGGAATTTACCAAGCTAATACCGTAAGTTTTGAAGTAAAATTAAATCGATTTTCGCATTTCTCGTCAAAAATATTGTTCGTATTTTCAAAGCTGCATATTTTCTAAAATAATGGATCGATTTTCAAAAAGTAAGAATCGATGTATAGAGAATTAAAAGCCCTTTCTAATGACCCCCCACTTGACCCCCATTCCCATTTAAAAAAATTTGGGGGATGGCACCCCCACTTAGGGGGTTGAAGATTTTGCTATGCTTTTTGCGCCAAAAGTTGTCCCCCTCAGAAGCAAACTTTACCTGTTTTTGGATTTTTCCGAAAAGTTCATTACTACCCTGTAATGCCTTGCGGTACGTTTTCGATGGGCTACCCTGTATATATTTTTTCTATTTAATTCTAAAATATTATGAGATTAAAAAAGTTATTTTGATAAAAAAATATTAACGATTTTTATTTATGCTAAGCATAATGTCAATATAACTGATAGATTTATATAAGTTTTCTTAACCTTAAGATCATTAGGATTTACTTGTGGCAGTCGATGACCTGCATCATTAACATTATTTAGCAAATCTGTTCATGGATTTCTAATATTGACTTTACGCCTGGTATAAATAAAAATCGTTAACAGCTTTTTATCAAAATAACATATTTAATCCCATAATATTTTAGTAAAATTCGTCCACTAAATCAAATGAACATACAGATTTACAAGTAAAATAATATTCATACTGAAACAATAATAAAAAGATTAAATATAAAATATAAATAAAATACAAATAGAAAAAAATATATATGAATGTAAGAAGTAATATAAATATAAATAAAAATCGTCACTATTAAAACAAAAATTTTTTTTTTAAATTCATGTGTATTGAAAAAAGTGTATGAAATTGAGGGCAAAATGATGTGTGAAATCCGACTTGACAACTTCCTCGTATGCACATCGAGTTACTCTAATGTCAGCAGTAATAGGAATGATGACAGTAACCAAGAATCACTAAAATTATGTATTTATCTAATGAAATATGATTCATGGATTATAAAAAACGTATTTATTTTTATATTGTGACCGAGATAGATAATATTTTTGATAAAATAAAACTACAAAATATAGCAAACCGCCATGATAGGTTGAACACCAATCAGAACGAATTACGTTACATCTATGTAAATGTCATTTTGTTTCATTTGTACTTCGAATATCCGCAGTATTTATCTTCGTTTAAACATTTTGTGTTAACTATCAGTTGCTTAGTTTTGTGTTACCAAAACCATAATCAGGAAACTTTAGGTATTTGAAAAGTTTCTAGAATAAGGAAAGAAAAGAAAGTTCAACAACTGCGAGTTAATAAAATATCAAAAAGACCATGTTGGTAAATTGGTACCAAATTGGTACTGAAATACAAAGAACAGTTCTGCGACACATTTTTTAAAAAACTCGTATGGACTGATGAAGATGACATGAAAGTTGAAGAAGAGTCATAAACCTTATAAACTACTAGGTCTATGAGAAGAGTCGAGATTAATATCAAAGCTGTTTTTAACGTGGATGTATTTAACAGGACTTCAAACGGGCTATTTCGGTGTAGCTGGATTGCAGCTACAGTACAAATAAAAAAGTATAAATAATTAATGTTACATTTGATGACTACTATGTATCAGATTTTCTTAATGTTTTAGTCTTCATGAAAATATAATGTGTATCCATTATTATGCCAAAGTACAATTTGAGGGTAAATAAAATGCAAATACTATTATGGTAACTTTATATTTTTATTTAACTAATGAATCTTGCAACACAAAGTATTAGCACCTTATGTTTACTGTGGACAAACATAGTTGTGACGTCACGTAGACGCCATGACACGGCAACCGTTTTTGCGTAAGTTTAGACTTAAAATTAAAATGTCAATATTTTTCTACTAAAACTTTTATTTTCTACAGAAATAAGAAATTTTTTGGAAATACTCGTAGTAAATACTTCCGAACATCATAGAACAGTTTTTCAAAATCTGTCATCATGCCAGCATGAGAGCATTTCACAGATTTCTATCAAATATATGTTAATCATTGTTAAACAAGCTACATTATACATACATATGTTAAAAAAGTTGTTTTTGACCCTTTTTTGGACCCTGCCGCCTCCAAATGGGCATTTGGCTTCGTGGTTATGAAGAGTTTTGTGCAGTAATAAAAAGGGGACATTTCAAATTTTCGGGAAATATCACCGAAAGACCAATTTCCATAAAGTGTGTCAATTTACACAAATTTTCTACTAATGCATGTGCAACTTCTCAACAATTTTTCGAAAATTTCTGCCCCTTGGAAGAGGTTAAAATAAGCATCCCCTAAATTATATTTTGCTTCATTTTTTTTTGTTTGACAAATATTGAATATTCAAAAATACGTGTCAGATCTTTTGTGACTCCTGCGAGTGCTTCATTGGATTTTCTAAGAAATGTTTAAGTAGGAGCATGTCATGCTAATTTCTGTCATTAGACCTTTTGTGAGTTTTGCGAGTGCTTCGCTCACTATGATTCTGTATTCTCCCAGTTTCTCGAAGTTTACTGCTGAGAAAGTCTGTTTGTGGGGAACTAAACTGTTTGGATGCCTCTGGTGGTATATTCCTCTTGATGCGGCACAATTTTTCCTACATTAAAAAAAAACTTGAGCATGTCAACATACTCGTCACTATTATTATTATTTACCATAGTTCTTCACAAGTTATCGTAAAAAAATTAAAATTAGCGAATCCAAGTCACAACCGCCTACTTAAATATTTCTTAGTTGCAATAGTGCATGTTGCATTATAATGAATTTTATTTTTTGTTAATAAACGGTTAGTTTTAAAGCAAAAGAGTACAGAGGTAAAAGTTTAAAACAAAATTTTTCCCAAACAAAAAGTTATAGCAAAAATAACTTAGCGGAAGCTTATTTCAACACTCTTCAAGGGCAGAAATTTTCGAAAAATTGTTGAGGATTTGACTATTATACCTTTTTTGTTTCCAAATTACAGCCGTTAATCTATATTCTTTTGAAAACTTTAAGAAACAGTGTTTCCTAACGGGTGAACATTTTACTGAGGTCATTTTTATGCAAAACGTGTTCTTTTTAGCTGCAGATTCATCGGTATCATTTGTGCTCCTTCTTTTGAAAACACACTTTAGAACCAATTTTCAGTAGATTTGCTCATTTCTAGTTATAAAAAGGTTTTTAAAAGTATCGCCATTCTGAACGTTAAGAGACCACCGTTCAATCCAAATATCAAGCAGACTTTACTTAGGATAACCCGGGGGAGTGTATGCAAACAGGATGGCCTAAATTCGCACGATACAATATGGCTAAGACTCTATGCGGTCCTTATCGGTAAACATCCCTTTTTATCTGTCAGAGATTACATGTAAATATCGAAGCCAACTTACGTGTAACCTCAGTATTCGCTTCAGGCGTGTCGTTGGCTGGTACTCTCCGTTCGCATATGAAACCCAACTGCACCAAGCAGTCTCTATCAGTCCAAGTGAGGCCAACGTTCTTGCTATGAAACGCTGCAATGCAGTGTTCAGTTTGACTGTCTGGATTTCCGGGAGCCCAGTTGGTGTATTCGATTGGTTGGCCTTTAGACATCCATATCCAATGCTTTCCATCTAGTAATTTCGATCCAGAGGTCCAAAACAAATCACCTTTATCTAAAAAAGTGAAAACGAAAGGATGAGTATTGAGTAGAATAATTCACCATTGGTTGCAATATGAATCTTTGGTGGGAATATCAAAGTAACTGAAGTTTTTATTGAATATCTAGCAATTAAACTGACTTAAAGCCACATTTTTGAAAATGTCAACCATGACCTATACTGGGTGTCCCAATTCTCCATGTGCAGACCGAGACAAATAAGTTTGCGCTTCTGACTCAGGCAGAGCTGCGTGAAACTGAAAAAGAACGCATTCGCCTAGAAGGAATAAGACGTAGGTATTTCCCTCCCCGCCATCAGAGCTATATCAGACTTATTTGGAAGAAACTACCAGAAATTCTTGCATCAAAGTCCAAAGTTATTTCGTTTAGCTCTTAAAAATTGGCAAAAATTATTTTTTTCCAAAATTACTTTAAAACTGTCAAACTTAAATAATGATTGGCATGCTAATACTTGTCTATAGATGTTATTTTTTGGCAGAGCAACCGAAGTCATTGTATTTTCAAAGGGAGAGGTACTCTCATCTATAAACAGATAATCATATTTTTCTGAAGAGACAGACAAGAACCTATTTATATAATTTACTCTCTTATATTTTTTTATTTCTAATGGTTTTGGCGTAATTAATAATTACTATCAACGTATTTCTTATTCAAATTTGATATAATCATTATCAAAAATGTATTTATTTCGAAATAATGCTTTGTGAAGTTCAAAAACTTGTAATCGCCAGTTCCTTCATTAATTATTATTATCATTATTATTGCTTTTTTTAGATTTTTCTCATTCTACAAAATATGGAGTGTAATTTGTTCTCATCGAATTCAGTTAGCTTAATGTTATTCAATAAGAATAACCAAAAAGATTCAAATTTGATAAAGAGACAATTTACAGAAAAGAGAAAAACCTGAACTAACAGATGATTAACCGAATTGTGTGATCCTGAAAATAGTCACCATTTTCGAACGTTTTCGTGAAAGTAGATTAGATTATAATTTCTTGAAACTTATAAAACATTATTTTGTTTTCATTATCAATTTTGATGACAATTATTAAATCAGATTTGCAGTTAAACTACGTTAGTGATGGCTAATAAATTAACTTATTCGAAAATCATAAATACGAAAAATTTTCAAGCAGGAAAAACCTGAAAGAGACGCCGTTATACAGGGTGTTACAAACTAGTAGGTCAACCCGTTAACCGCATATTCTTTGAATTAAAATAATGGTACTTTTCTTATGCCATTTTTATTTTCAATATACAGGATGTCAGAACCAACATTTAAAAAATTATCTTTATTGATAACTTCAGCGAATGGAGGGAAGGGGGGTTCAGTACTCATGGACCCCCTATTTTTTTAGTACGTCTATGTTATGATATTTATTTAAAATTGAGCACATACAGGGTATCCCGTTCATGTTTCAAAAAAACTTGTGTGCAAGTTCCTCTTGGGAAAATAATAAGGTTAGTTCATGTAAAGTTTTTTTCTTAGACGCCATGTTTTCGAGATACAGTGTGTTGAAGATGTTACTTTCCAAATGGTTTTCCTTAATTATCTTTAAATCGGCTAAAGTAAATAGCAAACATCAACTGTGCGTTAAGAATAATATGCAGATGGTATCTTTCTGAAAAGCAGTGTCGCAGATACAGGTAATTGGAGGGGTCCAATAAAAAAATATGTTAAAAGTCAAAATTTGTTACATTCCTAAATGGTTCTGTAAACTCTAAAGCATAATACAAAAAAAGGTATACTTGTCGAAATTCGGAAGCATTTTATTAACTAAAAAAAATTATTTTAAATTTTAGCTTGTTGTAAACTAACATTTATAAAAGTAAATTAAAATAAACAAATTATGGTAATTAATTATCTATTAATAACCAATTTTAGATTTTGTAAACTACTACACTACCACTACTAAAATAAATAATTGTTGAAAGAACTGAATTGTTGATGGGCATGAATGCTTCAAAAAAGTGATAAGAACAGAAAAATATTGGGAAACAGACTCGGAGATATACAGAACAAAACAGCTGCATAATTAAATAAATGAGCAAAACTCAAAATACTACAGTAGATGCTGAAATTGTCCCCCACTTGCATGCAACTTCATTTTTTTGGGAAATGGTATATGCTTCCGAATTTCGACAAATATACCTTTTTTGTAGTATGCTGTAGAGCAAAGGTCGGCAACTGGCGGACCGCGGTCCAGGTCCGGACCGCGGAAGGTAAAATACTGGACGGCCAAAAATTTTTTTAAAGTATAAATTACTCAAATAAATTATTTAAAAAATGTTTTTTTTACGTTTAAGTGTCAACCTTATCATTTTTTCTAGTATTTTAAAATTGTGTGAGTGTTTTGAGTTCTTAATGGTTAGTAAGCAGATTAAATTTGAGTTCAAATGAAAATTTGTAAGAAATATGAATTTTTTTTTCTGGACCTCGTTAAAAATTTTTAAAAGTATCCGGACCCCACCTAAAATTACTTGCCGACCCCTGCTGTAGAGTTTACAAAACCGTTTAGAAATGTAACAAATTTTGACTTTACATATTTTTTTCGATTGTACCCCTCCAATTACCTGTATCGGCGGCAGTGCTTTTCAGAAAGAAACCGTTTACACATTATTCTTAACGCACAGTTGATTATAACTCGTACAAATTTTAACATTTTTATCTTTAGGCGATTTAAAGATAATTAAGAAAAACCACTTGGAAAGTAACAACTTCAACACACTGTACCTCGAAAACAGGGCGTCTAAGAAACAAACTTTACATGAACTACCCCTATTATTTTTCTATGAACGGGACACCCTGTATATTGATCTTAAGTCGGCACACTTTTTGTATAATTTTGGTTTAAAATATCAAAGTGCGAACGGAGTTGAGGGGGGGTTGCAGTGCCCATGCACCTCCAATTTTTTTTGAGACGTTTATGCTTTCCAAATATTATATTTTAGATAAAGTGGTGCTTTATTCAATTTTTTTCACTCTTGTAAGATTTTGATTTCGGACCTTGTTCACGAAATACTGTAACTGTTTTATATGAAATGTACTCTAAATGCGAAAGATTTGAGACGGTATTTATTTCAGTTTATTGAATAAAAGGGAAATGATGATCATCATGATCAGCGATATTTAATTTGAGCTAAATCTAACATATCTAAAAAAGTTGAAATATCTCGTATAAAAAGCCCCAAATCAAAATATGTGGTTTCAGTCTTTATCTCGTACAATAATTAAAGTCTAACGTCGACTAAATTGATGTCGCGTATCCAAAAAAGTTACAATATCTCGTAAACCGAGCTCCGAATCAAAATCTTATAACAGTGAACAAAATAGAATAAAACGCCGCAGCCGCTTTAACTAAAAATAAAAAATATTTGGATAACATAGGTGTCTCCAAAAAAATTGGAGGTCCATGGGTACTGCAACCCCCCTCAAATCCGTTCGCACTTTGATATTTTAAACCAAAATTACAAAAAAAAAGTGTGCCGACTTAAGAACAATATATGTGCTAAATTTTAAATAAATATCTCTACAATCACCGGAGTTATCAATAAAAATCATTTTTTAAATTTTAATTTTGACACCCTGTATTTTGAAAATGGGCTCCGAAATGAAAAGTGACATAAGATAAGTCCCATTATTTTAGTCCGAAGAATATGTGGTTAACTGCTTGACCTACTAATTTGTAACACCCTGTATAATAAAATAAGAAAATACTTAAAAATGAGGTCACTTTTCATATTTCTATTAATGCAATAATTACTCCGATTATTATTTCATAAAGTGGCACCTATACAGAAGTACATACTGGTTTGCGATTGGCATTTTTGACGCCCGCTAGTACCTAAACAAAGTAACTTTAGAGAGAGGTGTGTTTATTTCAATCATTTTATTTTAACCCCAAGAATACAAGGTCTGTTCAGAAAATAACCGAACTGTTTCAATTAAGGAGAGAATGGAGATTTACTGATATGCGGTTGGCAGCATTGCGTTGTGCATAACTTCCTCTGTAACTACATGTTCTTGGATGGTTGATATCTCATTTACTTTTCGTAATATTGTTATTTGAGTGCAACATGTGTAACTGTGATGATTTTTGAAATGTGCGACTTTCGAGAACAACAATGCAACATAAAATTTTGCGCTAAACTGGGGAAAACTTTCACGGAAACGATCTGGGAAAAGTCTGTGAATAGAGGAGGGGTGTACTTTAAAGGAGACAATGACAAATAATGTACAAAATAAATAATAAAGTTCGGTTATTTTCTGAACAAACCTCGTATATGATAGATCCATGTATACAGAATATTTAGATCCTATATGTTCATATAACTGATTATATTTTGGAAAAAAATACTCACTAGAATCTCTAACATATTTATAGAGCCTGTTATTTTCTTCGGCGTTCTCGATGGTGACAAGTTTCATATGAATATCTTCACAGAATTGGGCTGCTTGGAAATATGTAGCCTTGAAAAAGTACAAAATTAATACCGCTATACAGAATTGTTCTATTTAAAACTTTTGTTGAATATTTACAGATATTTTTCGTAAGATACTGGGCCATTACGCGGGAATACTAAATTCGATTAGAAATTAAAACGGAATATTTGATACTTTCACTAATTTTCAACAGGAATCATATTTTTTAATCAATTTGTGTTTCCTATGAAACACTCTGTATATTTTTAGATATTCTGTTACAAAGCTTTCTCAAGATTGCAGAGATAAGAGGTTAAATGTGTCTATCTCTAATATTAATGAAGATGTAACAAAAACCGTGGTGTTTTTAGACAGATTTGATAGCTGCTAATTGCTTAACGACTGACAATAATTTCACTACAAGTTACAATTATAACGCAGCCTTTTGGCTATATCTAATAATAATAAATTAAATTAAATACCTATTGTAAGTACATTTAGTCAAAAGGTCATTTGATCGATTCGTCCTGTTCTGCTATTAAAACTTGAGGAACATACAATAAGTATGTGAGGAATACAAGCTCACAGCCCAGCTTATTTAATCTGACTGGTGAAGTCAGATGCGCAGTGGCAGAGTCGGAGTGGTTTGCGGAGATCATTTTGTTATCGACACTCATAAACAGTGTACATTTTCTCAAAAGTAAACGAGCAAACACCAAAAATTTAAAACAAAAGTTTAAATGAGCAAAGCGCAGAAATGGTAAATGATAAAGAAAACATATTTATGTAAATAATTGTGTTTTAGTGCATTTAAAGGTACTTTGTTGGTAATATATCAAGGATTTTACTAAATAACAGTAGTAACATAAAATAAAGGAACAATACAGGGGTGTCCCATCGGGAACTGCGTCGATCGATATCTAGGAAAGTATAGCTCCGAAAAAATTGAAAATTTGTCAACATGTCAATGTCCCTGGGGTGAACACAACCAAAATATTGCTCTCTAGCACTTCCGGTTATACCGGAAGTCGACACCAACTTCGTTATTTTAAATGGGACACCCTATATATTATTGCATTTTCGGATTCTACGTGAAATTTGAGGGTCACTTTATTAAATATTCCCTATACCTAGGAGTTATAGATTTTAAGATATTAATTTTTAAAGAAAAAATTTGACAGATGCAAGGATCCGCGGAGGTGCTAGTAACTTTTTTGAGGAGCGTTATATCAAGTGGATTTTTGGTACCTGTAAAGGGCATAGGTAACGCTAAATTATGGTATACCAACAAATTAAAACATTTAATTTTAATACTAGATGTTTCATTTTTGCTGTTACATTTTGATAACTTCAATCAGCTATAACTTTGTTAACTTAAATGGAACGCCCTATATTTTTTGCTCTGTCGTATGCAGATTGAAATTCCCTTTCAAGCCATATGAGGATTGCTGGGGTTGCAGTTACTATTTTTAGAGATATTTGCAATTTTCTTTTTGGGCAGTTTTTCTCGTATCAGACCTGTTCTCAAATTGACCATGACCAGAATCACTCCAAAAACAATTGAAATAACATGACATTTAGTTGTCATGTTGTCAAATTAGTTGTCAAATTATTGTTGTGTCTGAATAGTTTCTGCCGAAAATTTAAATAAAAATGTCTGGGGATCATTTAAATTATGAGGATTATTTTAATTTGTATGTTATTTATGGAAAATGTGACAAAGTAATTTCAAGAACATGTAGCGAGTCTGCGGATTTTTTTCATAAATAAGAAACAAATTAAAAAAATCCTAATACGTATAATTTAAACATCCCCCGGCATTTTTATTTAAATTTTCAGCAAAAACTATTAGACATATTAATGTGTAATGGAACCTTTCCTTGGATGAGGATTGAGACACTGACCTTTTCTTTAGTATTTTATTAATTGCTTGACTAACACTTTATTTTATTATTACTATTAAAGGTAGTTGTTGAATAACTAAGTTTGATATCGTTGATTGATTATGATCGTTGAATGAATGAATTTCGAATATTGAATGAATGTTTTGGCAGAGAGGTTTTGATTTTATATAATTCAAGAGGAAATACATCACTGGCGTACAACCAGATCTTATGTACAGGGTGATTCTTTTATCATGGGAAATGAGTTTTTCTCGTAAACGGCTGCAGCAAATTGAGTTCTGTAAAAAGTATTTTATTTGGGCTGATTGATGCTTGAAATTGCGATTGATATGAAAGTTATAATTAAGCGACGCTGGGCGTCGCGACGCTTCAAAATTTTTTTTTTGTCAGAAGAATACCATTTTTATTTCAGAAATTGGAAGATCTATTGAATGGAAACACTTTTTCCAAATACCATTTTTTTTCATCTAAAACCATTCAAAAATTACAGACCAGTTTTTATGTGTTAAATTGGTCGATTGCCATGCAAAGAATGCATGGTTTTTTAAATTTCACTAAAGCAGACAGGCTAACTTTTATGCTGATATTGACCACAAATATAATTTAGGATTTAAAGAAAACAATTTACAAAATGTTACTACATTTAATAACACTAATTTAATTGTTTAAGAAATAATGAACGTTTACACTAACAACAACCAATACATAAAACACTAAAGAATAACATGAACTGTGTTTAGTAAAAATTAACTCTTAATTCACAAATCTTATTTTAACAATTGCTCGATATAGGCGCCATCGTTATCTAAACATAAATTGTACCGCTTTCTTATTTCGCAAGATGTAACTTTTCTTAAAACATCACCAGATATTCCATTGCACGCATCAATAATGTTTTGTTTTAAATTATCTAAATTATTAGATTTTGTTTTATACACTATATTTTTTAAAGTTCCCCATAAAAAGAAATCTAAGGGTGTCAAGTCCGGGGACCTAGGCGGAAATTTCAAGGGCCCGTGTGTCCCCAACCATCTTCCGTGGTAGAATTCATTCAAATAATTTTGAACAATGGCCGCATTGTGGCAAGGAGCTCCATCTAGTTGAAACCATAAGTTTCTTCTGATTTGCAGTGGCACATGTTCCAGCAAAAGAGGAAGGTGATTTTGGAGAAAATCTAAGTATCTTGCGCCCGTCAAGGCGCCTTCATAAAAGTATGGCCCTACTAAGTGCCGCCCGACTATTCCGCACCAGACATTTATGCCAAAGTGGCCCTGCCTTTGATGTTGCCTGATTTTATACGGGTTTTCGTCCGACCAATAATGGGTATTTTTTTTGTTTGGTAATCCATGACTAACAAAATGACTTTCGTCTGTCCATAATATATGAGAAAATAAATTAGGATTATCATCCAAAGACACCAAAAACTGACAAATAAAATCCTCCCTCCGCTCACAATCTCTTAGCGAAAGTTCTTGCAAATTATGAAATTTATAGTCATGGTATTTGTTGCTTTTTAAAACTCTTTGTATCACGCTATAATTTAAATTTAAGTCTCTTGAAGCCTCTCTTATAGAAGCTTCATGATGATTGTTAAAGTAATTTAAAATAATTGCCACATTTTCATCCGTCGTGACAGTTTTTGTTCTTAATCTTTTACCTGCAAATTTGGCTCATTGAATTTATGGAGATTTATAAAAAAACACAAAACCTACCTTCAAATGCTTTAGGGTTTTGACGCAAACTACTTTCTAACCTAGCAAAAATTTTGTGGTCTGGAAGGTTGCGTTCGGGGTATTTTTCCGCATATAATCTTCTTGCAGTTAAAGCATTTTTTTGGGCTTCTCCGTATAACAAAAGCATGTCAACTTTTTCTGAATGTGTAAACATATTTCTTATTACTTACTATTTTAATAGAAATAATTAAAATTACACTGACAATTTCAGACATCAATTAATATAAGCCAATTTTGTTTTTTCAAAGCCTACCTGCTTTAGTGAAATTTAAAAAACCATGCATTCTTTGCATGGCAATCGACCAATTTAACACATAAAAACTGGTCTGTAATTTTTGAATGGTTTTAGATGAAAAAAAATGGTATTTGGAAAAAGTGTTTATATTCAATAGATCTTCCAATTTCTGAAATAAAAATGGTATGCTTCTGACAAAAAAATTTTTGAAGCGTCGCGACGCCCAGCGTCGCTTAATTATAACATTCATATCCTTCGCAATTTCAAGCATCAATCAGCCCAAATAAAATACTGTTTACATAACTCAATTTGCTGCAGCCGTTTACGAGAAAAACTCATTTCCCATGATAAAAGAATCACCCGGTACTCTGTTTACAATTATTTAGTCTGCTGTCGCTGATAGGTAAACAAATAATTGGTTTTATACATCTACATCATTAACGATTAACCACAAGGAATTCTTATTTAGATAATTACTTCCTTACTAATAGTACACAAAATATTCTTATCTTAACCTACACAATAACAGGAAATATCAAATGAATAAATAAACATTAGTATACAAATTTTCCTTAACTTAAGAGAGAATGGTAATTATACATAGGCGTAACATAACTAAATTTTAAGAGGTACATTACAAATAATTTCATAATTAACTAGACGAATGTCAAGTTATTTTAATCGTTTCGGAGTGTTTCTGGTCATGGCCAATTTGATAACAGATCGGATACGAGAAAAAGTGTCCAAAAAATAGAAAATTGCAAATATCTCTAAAAATAGTAACGGTAACACTAACAATCCTTATACGGTTTGAAAGGAAATTTCGATCTGCATACGACAGAGTAAAAAAATAGAGAGTGTTTCATTTAAGTTAACAAAGTTATAGCTGTTTGAAGTTATCAAAATGAAACACCTAGTATTAAATGTTTTAGTTTCTTGGTATACCATAATTTATCGTTACAGGTATCAAAAATCTGCTTGATACGACGCTTTGAAAAGAGTTACTATCATCTCTTCGGACTCTTGCATCTGTCAATTTTTTTTTTAAATATATTTAATAAAGTAATCCTCAAATTTCACGTGGAATCCGAAATCCAATAATATATATGACGTCCCATTTAAAATAACGAAGTTGGAGTCCACTTCCAGTATAACAGGAAGTGCTGGATAGTTCTAGATATTTTAGTTGTGTTCGCCTTAGGGACATTGCTATATTGCCAAATTTTCAAATTTTTCGGAGCAATATTTTCCTAGATATCGATCGACGCACTTAAAAGTTAAAAGTTAAAGCAAATAAGTATCACAAAGAATTTGAAGATTCCGCTAAAGTAACTTATTTGTAGTAGTAAGTAAATTTTTGGATCGATTTCTACTTATTGGTTGTTTTTGCACCAGTGAAATAATTACAAATTAAATAATTAAATAAACCGTTGAGTCAAAAAGATCTTTACTAAACTATTTTTGCCCCACCAAATATTCCACATAAAGAAAATACACATTAAGGTATCAGGTACATTAATTATAATAAACGTTTCCAAAAATTAAATCTGTTTTCACTGTCAGAACTGAAATTGACGTATGTATTTTTTAATTGTGTTTAGTTGCTTAAATGTGTTTGTTTATCTGTTTCCATAGCTAGATATATGATTATTTCAATTAATGTCAATAAAAAATTTACGTTATATTTTAAAATAAAAGCTATCAATGAAACAACTTCTAATTTGTTTTAAGTACCAATTTGAAGATAATTTTTTTGTATTCGAGAAATATTCAAAATAAATGCTAATCTTGAAATGAACAATCGTATTTGATCATTTATCAACGAAAAATATGTAGTTCTTCAAAAATAGAGGCTTCTTCGTATTTTTTATTAAATTTGAAAATTAATGTTTTTTATTTTACATATAAATTTAAATCGAAAGATTTTTTTACTCTAACAGCTCTAAATGTTTAAAAGTATTTTCTTGAAGAAATTTTGAAACAATTCTAATTGTTGTTAAAATTGATAAAATCAAAAATTTTTAAATGGGAATTGATAGCTGAGACTCCAAAGGGTACGTAAAAAAATTGGGAGCTCAAAATAATCATTAGTTTTACCGTGAGAGAGAATTGAAAGATAAGTATAATTCTGTATTTTCTTAATTAATAATTTAATCCTACCAGGTCGATTTCGATGAAAAAATGTCTGCAATACTACCATATCATAAAGTACTCAGAACCATATTTTTTATATGACTGCTCTAAAGTCAAGGTCCGAAATAAATTAATGAAAAAACGTTCCCTTTTCACGAATTCTTTTCGGTCTATACTTTATTGCAGCAACAATAATGCACATAAAAATTCCGGACAACTTTTATCTCAATACGAAACTTTTTTTTTGACTATTTTCTCTAATGTCAATATTCTCCGAGTTATACGCGAAAGAAAGAAGAAAAATGCTCTTTTTTATTATTTTTTTACATTTTCTTGCGCTAACAATTATGCACAACTATTTTCAGAGGGCGCATATCGCAATTATCATTCTACATAATATTTAGAACTATTTCCAACAAAAATTATCATTACTATATAAAAAATTCATCCCGAAACAGATACCGACTGAACTAGATGTGAAAATACTATTATTACTATTAATATTTGTAGTTGCAAGAATCACAGTTTACGAAGAAGGAAAAGAAATTCGAAATATATTTTTTTTAAGTAATTTTCATACAAAAATAGGTAGGATTTATAACAATTGCATAATAGAGCAGCAACACATTAATCAATTTGATATATTTAAGCATGTAGTGTTTTCTAATGTGCAACTTTCAAGTGAAGTATGTAAAAAGTAAGTAGAAAGTCATCTTCTAAACTTTTTCCTTCCTATATATTTAATTTAAAGAAGCCTGTCAGTGCATCTGATTAACTATGATTTTTTTTTTGTTACCGATACATATAATTTTTAACCGATATTTTATAACAACAAAATAATAATAATACAAAAACTTACCTTAAAATGGAAACCAAAGTAGTAACTCTTCCCATCACTGTGAAATAAATGTATCAAAGATGTCAAATTACTCCCAAAAAAAGTATCCCAGCCTAAAAAATAAAAGAATCTAAATATGTGTAACTCAAATATAATCGAAATTGTATTGAATACATTCCATGTTCTTTTTGAGATATTTTGCCACCTGTGAAAAAATTTTAAAATTGGTGAAATAAACCCTCGTGTCAAAAGGGTTATTTTAATAAAAATAGTTTTGCCTAACCAACAAATCTCACATTAAAATACTTAGCAGATAAATAGGTACAAAATTCAAAAACACGTCACTTTATATACCTAGCGCACTTTAAAAAATTGTTAACGTTTTGAAAATATATTTCTCTCCTGAACTTTTTTTGATTTTTCGTTTAGTTACTTTGGTAGTTTTTTAATATGCGGTCAACTAGGGTAATATAACAAATTATCATATTATATTACAAAAAGTGTTGTTGTTCTCTAAAAAAAGTTTACCTCGTGACTCCGTTGATTCCAAAAATAAATTAGGTAAAAAGTTAAAAAGTTCCAAGGCATACGTCTTTACGAATATTTTCGATAATTTGAAACCTACTTTTAACCTATAAATCTATAAATAGTTTTAATATGGTTTAGTTATGGTTAAGTGGTTTGTAGTCAAAGAATCGTTAGATAAAAAATCAGATAAATCCATATAAAAAAATGAGAAAATAATAAAAAGACTGTCAGTGCTGGAAAAAAGTAAAATAATGTTTTATATGACTTTTATTAATAATTAGTTATTATTTTGCAATTTCGTCCTTTGATTTTACTAAATATATATAAAAATACATAGGTATGTATAACTTTATTATTTTTGAAATTTGCTGGCCGATTATAATTAACAAAATGTAAATGGTACATTGTTAGGAAGATATTGATTTTTTACACTGTTTTTCTTTTAGAGAAGCATCATGAGAAAATAAACATAACTCTTGGACTTCATGAAAAAAATTTTGCGTCCAAAAATCTCACATTGATCACTTTATAGTGATGTGCATTTTGTTTTTTCTGCTTGTCTAGTTTTCTTTTCAGTGTGAGACTTTTATTTAGACAATACTACTCTCAAAAGAAATAATCCTTAACTGTCCTTTTGGAGCTGAGGTTTATATCATTGTATTATTTTTTAGATGGTAAAATACCTACTCAAATAAATAAAAAAATATGTGCGATATCCTTTTCGATGCTTAAATCAAATGTAAATTTGAATTTATATAATCTATCACACAATGTCAAGGCAAAAATTAAAAAAAGGTCTATATACTGTACGAGCATGAAGTAAGAAATTTGTAAAATGTAGATTCAATATCATAATGTTACGTGACACACAACATTATTGTCAATAATTATTAAGTAAGTATATACTTCTTTAATTTTTTAAATAATTTTCTTTAATTTAATTTTTTATTCAATTCAGTCAATTCAATTCAAATAAATTCAATAATAAATGTGATTTAAGTTTTTCATTTCAAACACAATCAGTATATTAATATTGTTACCACCGTTATTTATATAAATAACTACAAAAAAGACGGCATCTATATTATATACATACATTTATAAGAATTGCGTCTCTTTTCAATGAATAAGCAGGTAAAAACTGCAAGATATCTGAATTGAGTTTCTTTAATTATACTTTTCCTTTGAAAATTGTTCCTCTTTAATTTAAAATTTCTTACCCTGAAATGAAGGATTCAATGGACTCTTAGGGTGAGCAAAACTACTATTCACGAAGAAAAAAAACACCACTAGCACAATTTTGGAAAACATCTTCCTCTCTGCAATTGGACTACTGTTTCACAAAATAGTTTTGTCTACAATTATATATAAGGGATAGGCAGGATATGTGATAAATTATTTCCAGAGATAGATATAATAAAATCCCCGTACATTATCATACAACCCAGACTCTCTAAAGAGGATGCTAGTGTAGCCTGATAAGCGTCATAAGTAAACATGTTTGCATTTCCGAATGGCATTGGGGAACATAGATTCTGCAGTAGTAAATCCCACAAAATTATAAAACATTTAAAACAAAAAGGAAGACCGAATTTATTTATCTTATGGATTCTACAGGTATACACGGATTGCAAGTTTAAAAAAAAGGATTAAGGTGTAAAAAACCATCATTTAATTAGAGACATGAAAATACTAAAACAGGAAAATGACTTAATTTCCCTAGTGTATTGATATTCCAACAGCAAAAGTATATTAGGTATTAGGATGTAAACTCCACTGTAGGCCAAAATTTCTACAAATTATGTTGAAGGAAACATTGGCTTACAACTGTTTGATGAAAAAGGTCTTTTGTATCCATTCTTTGTTTGTTGAAAATCTACAGTATGTAAGCGGTTAGGATAAGTAAGAGGAAAAACTTTTTTATTTTACTTTTTACGGAAAAAAGGCACACTTGATAAAAAGTTTTGCTTGAATTTAAAATGAGATTGCCATGATGACGATTAAAATAAAGTCCAGAAAATAAAAAAATCTGAAAATGTCACGAGAGTAAACTACCTTCATTTTTAATATTTCTGAAATGTGTCGCTAGGAAAAGTTGTTAAAAAATTAAAATATACGACATAATTCTAATTTGTGGAAAAATTGGCCTACTTTGATTATTTACAAATATTTACGTCCGCGGTTAGGATGAATAAGAGGATTTTTTTTTGTTTCAAATAGAATACTATTCATTTTAGAATACAATCTAGGCTGTAATATTTAAAAAAGTATATGGTGTGTGGTATCCTTTTATGGAATAATATTACCATACTTCTTTGAAGATACGTGCAATGGAAACAGCTACCGGAATATGCTCCATGCGTTTTTTTTACTAATGAATTGGACAATTTACCACTGGCCCACCGAATTTGTTATTATTTTCAGCATGGCGATTGTCCTGTGCATTCTGCTGAAACTGTTAGGACCTGGTTACAGAACACATTTCCCAATCGCTGGATTGGCCGGCATGCTTCATATCAATGGTCCCTGCGATGTTCAGACTTAACAATCATGGACTCTTACTTGTGGGGCTAACTCAAATAGATTGTGTAAGTATAGCAAGCCTTTGGACAATAACATCGAGCAGCTAAAACAACGAATTAGTCCATATCTTTAGAAGAGATTAGATGCAGCTACAATGAATTCCTTGTGTGAACGTTGGCGGAGGAATATTCGAATAATGTTTTATTATACATACATTTTTTAAATAAATTTTGTGTGCGAATTGTTTTATTTCAAAACTCAAGTAACTTTTTTGCACGACTTTTGCAAAATATCATTTTTCAGAAATATTAAAAATAAAAGTATTTTACTCTCGTGACATTTTCAGATTTTTTTATTTTCTGGACTCCCCGTATATGAAATGTTAAGTTTCACTATGACAACCACATTTTAAATTCAAGCAAAACTTTTTATCAAGTCTGCCTTTTTTCCATAACATGTAAAATAAAAAAGTTTTTCCTTCGCCCTAACCGCGAACATACTGTATATATAACTTTGAACTATTTAAAATTACTGCAGATAAATAAATAAAAGAACGTTTAAAATACTCTGTTTCATGACAAATTATTTGCAAAACATTTGATTTAATATTTAGCTGACAATTATGTACCTCAAGACGACACGAATTCTATTGGTCTCGGTTTCTTCCAAGATTAAGAGGATAATAGCACCCGACTGTCTGCCTCATGTTGGTACAAGCAGTAAAGTTCTGAGTGAGACGCAGCGAGTGCAAAAAATGCGGTGCGGTACAGTCGGACAAGAAAAGATTCCCAAACATTGAGATTAGACGTCGATAATAATTGCAGTTGAATTTAATAGGGCCCATGCTCCCCTCGGGAAACATCATTGGGTCTTCCTCAGGGAAGAATCCTTAGCCCTATTCTATTTATAATTTATACCATGGATTTACATACGAGTCTAAATAATGATGTCAAAGTAATACAATTTGCCGATGATATATGTCTATATACAGAAAACAACTCATTAAACGAATGTTCTATAGAATTGGGGAAAACCATGGACAACGTCAAAAATTGGATAGAAAAGAACGGTTTCACCATATCCGAAACAAAATCGACCGTCTGTACGTTCACAAGGACAAGAATTCAGCTTTCGCCGAATATCAGGTTAGGCCCATATCAGTTTCCTCATGGAAATACAGTGAAATACCTTATCTATCTAGATAAGAAATTACTCTGGAAAGACCAAATACAGCAGGTTGTCAAGAAGACTGAAAACGCCATCAACGTCATCAGAGTGTTCACAAAGAGTTCTTGGGGAGCAGACCCGAACATATCTTTATTATTTTATAGATCTCTCGTAAGATCTGTGATGGATTATGGTAGTATTTTTTATGGATCCGCCTCAGATACTCACCTGAAAAAAATTGAAGTAATAAAAAACAAATGCTTACGTTTAAGTTTAGGGCTATTGAGGACTACCCCGATAAATGTGATAGAAGTCGAAAGTTGTGAACCTCCAATAATCCTAAGAAGGCAATATTTTAGCGACAAATTTGTCACAAAAATTTATTCAAAAAAATAGTGAATGTTTAATAAACCTCCACAATCTAACCATATTAAATCTATCATCGACTTATTGGATAAAAAAAAAGTCTCCTCTCATGGTAGAGTCATATCTGAAACTCTTAGAAAATTCTCATCAGTGCTACAACAACAACTTAGACCCATATTATAACATCAAATACGAAGACCTTCTAAATGAAATTAAGTGTCATTATCTAAACATATCTCAAGCCCCAAACATCACCTTCCAACATGAAATAAAACACAGATGGCCAAACTTCGAATACATATTTACAGACGGTTCCAGAAGAAATGAACAGTCCGGATGTGCCTTTTACCATCAAAATACAACTTATTATGAAATATTCAAATTGCCAAACTCATCGACTATATATACCGCAGAGCAGTATGCAGTCCAAAAAGCTATGGAATACACAAAAGTTATACCAAACACAAACTGTATAATCTTCACTGACTGCAAAAGTTTAGTGGATAAATTAAAATCTATCAAAAGATTCACGAAAATTGATAACGTTTTTGGAAGCATTTTATCTATCTATGGCGAATTATTAAAAATCCAAAAGAATATAGAAATAGTGTGGATAAAGGGGCATAGCGGTATCCAGTAGAATGATATAGTGGACTATCATGCAAAACAGGCTACAACTCTCAAGGCGATTGTACATCGATTACACCATTTGAGGAGCTTATGCGGATTTTTCAAAACATCCGCAATTTTTTCAAGTCTTCTAATGACGTTTGTAAGGTTTAGCGCTCGTTTGCGCGTCTTCTTAGGTTGTGTTGAAGATCTCTTGGCATGATAGGAGACTGATCGTGGCGTCTAGGGGTTTCGACTAGAAATTTAGAAACATCCGCGATTTTTTAAATTTTCTTTTACGGATTGTAGAGCTGCTTAGAGGCATTGTAGTAGTCTACCTTAGATACATTCATGCCATGGATGTTGATTTTGAGCGGACTGATGATTTATTCGAAAACATAGGCGATTTCAGAAGTGATTTTCTACGACAATATCATGAAGGTAGTTGAGCATTGCATTAACAAATACTTTGTTTTGTAAAACACAAAAATGGCAATGATGTCTTTCTTTAAGTTTTACTTTACCAAACTCTCTGATATGATGTAACTTCATTAAATACTGATATGTCTGTCACAAATCCCATGTACCAATACTGAATTTTATTTATTTATCAGCACTTGAGTGTAGGGAACCATATACAAAATCACATTTTAGAAAGACAAAGTGGCATAAAACTAACGATTCAAAGAAATATTAATTTCATATCAGAACATAAATAGTGTTCTAAGGAAGCTATTTACTTAAATGAGTCTCTCTGCGAAGATCACTGATATGTTTCGAGAACCTTAAGTCATCTTCAAACAAGAGACCTAAAATTTGAAGTAAGTTACAACTTTCAGGATATTCAATAAAAAAAAAGTTGTTCACCCTTGATATACTTATAATTCGGTAATTAAATACTAAGCTGTATTGAAACAGTTTCATTATAGCAAAGAAACAGGCGTCTGATAAATTTTTATATATTGTTCGGTCCGGATCAGACTGTAGAAGTTGAGGAACGGATATTAAATGCATCACAGTTGCACTCCGTTGCAGTGGAAACGGACAGTTAAACGTCGAAGTGGAAGCCGTATCGACAAGTAAATATATTGCAGAGGCACTGAGAATGCCTTCCGTGTGCGCTTGGCATAGGCAGTAAACAAAATTCTTAAAAGTTGAAAGTTATCCTTTGGGACCTACTGACGAAATTGCTTTCGACTGCCCCTCTAACTTTTGATGAAAAAATGTAACTTATGTTTCCTTTGACGGGATATGTATGCTTACTGCATCCTTTTCTGTTAGAAAGGAAGTTAAAATTTAATGTTTTTCGTGAAGTTTCTTGAACTGAAAGTGAAACAGGAAATAGTACGCCGTTAGTTTAAACACGTGACAGAAATGCAACATACTTCATGAAATACACAATATTCCGTGTTTAATTAAAGGATCTAGCACGATAAGATCAGCTTCCCCAGAAAGGTATTTTGAAAATGACTTGTGTGGTAATATCGGCGAGATATAAATGTACCATTGACACAAATTTAGCCTCGCATCTCGCTGCGTTCTGGTAATAATAATTGATGAAAAAGACGCTAAAGCGGGCATTTTTTAAAATTGTTTTTTTCGAAGACTATTGCAGCTGCCCTAATGAAACAAAAACTGTTCGTTAGACAAAACATTCTTCTTCTTCTTCTTCTTCATCTAGTGGTTGGTCCTTCAAAAGTCCCATAGCACTGCGGCCTAATTAGGCCTATTGTGCGTCCCACTACTAGTCCTATTCAGCAAGTAGATTTGTCCTTTTTACAAAGTCCAAAAGCTTCCTTGCTGACACTTCTCTCAGATCCTTGGGTTCCAAATAGGGTCTCCCAAGGAGCGCCATTCTGCTACGTGCAAATCCCGGGCACTCGCCCAGGATATGCAGAGAAGTTTCATCCGCCGATTCACATCCTCGGCAGACCGGACTGTCTACAAGCTTTAGTCTATGTAGATGTTTCTTAAAGTGACAGTGTCCCGTTATGAGTCCTGTCACTCTCCTGAGCCGGATTCTATTCAAGCTCAGTAACTCAATCGCTCTTCCATTCGAAGGATACTCCATAAGCTCCTTGGAATGGCTATGTCCTGGCCTTGAAGTCCAGTATTTCCTATGTTCTGTCTCTGTCCATTTGCCCATAGCCCGCCTGACCACACTGGGAGATGTGCCACAGAAGGGCTCCGGGCCAATGAACACTGTTTCGGATCCCTTCCTCGCAAGTTCATCCGCTTTCTCATTTCCACAAATGCCTTTGTGCCCTGGCACCCAACACAGTCTGACTGTATTGTTGGTGGCCAGTTCAGTTAGCATTTGTAAACAGTCCCACACCAGTTTTGAACTTACCTTGTGTGCGGCTAAAGCTTTAATTGCAGCTTGACTATCAGAGAATATATATATGAGTTTACGTCTATAACCTCTACGTACATTCTCTGCCAGACACGCCATTATTGCGAAGATTTCTGCTTGGAATACAGTAGGGAACTCCCCCAGACTGTAGCTTGCACTCCATCTGGGTCTGAGTCCATATATTCCTGCACCCGTCCCTCTGGTCATTTTGGAGCCATCTGTAAACCATACTAGGCTCCACCTTTCCAGGGTATTAAACCTTTCCTCCCACTCGCTTTGATCCTCTATTCGAGTCTCAAATGGCTTGTGGAAGTGAAACTTTGGAACCATCTTGTCGGATACCATCCCAAGAATTGGTTCCGACATAGATGTATCTTTGATCCTGGAGTGGGAACCACCCCTCCAGTCATTATTATTCCTGAGTCGATATGCTGCTAGCCGCGCTTCTCTCTCCACCACTATATGCAGCGGTGGCAGATTTAGCATGACTTCTAGTGCAGCTGTCGGGGTCGATGCCATCGCCCCCGTTATACCTAAACAGGCCAATCTCTGAATTCTATTCAGTTTTTCCTTCGCTGTGGTCTGTTGTGTTTTCTGCCACCATACCACCGCGCCGTAAAGAATCCTGGGTCTTACTATCGACGTATACAACCAGTGTGACATCTTTGGTTTCAGTCCCCAGGTTTTCCCAATAAGGCGGCGGCATACACACAGTGTCTGCTTCGCCTTACTCACCACTTTTTCCAAGTGCGCATTCCAGGTAAGCTTATTATCCAGTATCACTCCTAGATATTTTACTTCCCTGGAAAATGTAATGCCCCTCTCCCCTATTATAGGTTCAGAGAGTCCAGTTAAATTTCTTCTCCTAGTGAAGGGTACTACGACCGTTTTGTCAGGGTTTACTGACAGTGCCTGCCCCTTACACCAGTCATCTATCCATTTCAAAGCCTCTTTCATGAGTTCTGAAACGATAATATTATGTTTCCCGACTATGAGAACGACCAAGTCATCCGCATAGCCTTGTGTATAAAACCCCTTTCGATTAAGGCCCTCCAGTGCGCCGTCCACCACTAATCCCCATAACAAGGGAGACAGTACGCCTCCCTGGGGGCAGCCCCGGCCTACCTTACACCTGGATGTCTCTCCCGAAAGGGTAGCTGTTACTGTCCGGTTTCTCAACATGGTATCTATCCAACGACACAAAGTGTCTTCAAGGCCCCTGTTGCGAACTGCCGAATTAATAGATTCGAAAGGTGTATTGTCAAATGCCCCTTCAATATCTAAAAAAGCTGCCAAAGCTAGATCTTTGTCGTCCATTGCCCTCTCTATCCTAGAGACTAGGCTATGAAGGGCTGTGTCGACTGATCTGCCTGCCTGATAGGCGTATTGGTACCTGTGCAGAGGATTTGCCCTCAATACCCCGTCCCTTATATGCCTGTCAACTATTCTCTCCAACGTTTTCAGGAGGAAAGATGTTAAACTTATCGGGCGATATGCCTTTGCCTGGGCATACGATGGACGCCCTGGTTTAGGAATAAACGCCACGTTCGTCGATCTCCATGCCAGCGGTATATAACCAAGTGCAATGCTGGCTCTGAAGACGTGAATTAAGACCGGAGCTAGACAGTCCACCCCCTGCTGTAGCAGTACAGGTAGGATTCCATCGGCTCCTGGTGATTTAAATGGGTCAAAAGAACTTATTGCCCATCTTATTCGTGACTGACTCACCACCGTCTTGGCAACCTCCCAGTTCTGTCGAGACCCGGTCGTTACCCTCTGCTGGTGATTCCAGTCATATTCATCTCCATGATTTAATAACCTGGAGCCTGGAAAGTGAGTATTTAGAAGTAATTCCAATGTCTCCCTTCCAGTTTTGGTATATTCCCCACTCGGTGCTTTGAGAGACCCGAGTTTCGTATGTCCGTTCTTAGAGAGAAGTCTCTGGAGTTTAGCACACTGTGGGACACTATCAATATCCTCACAGAACTTCCTCCATGAGTCTCTCTTCGCTTTTCTAATTTCTTTATTATACTCAGTGAGGGTTGCTCTATAAGTCTCCCACTCTCCTGTCCGCTTTGCTCTATTAAATAGTTTTCTTGTCTGTCCCCTCAACTGCGTGAGTTCCTTGCTCCACCAGGGTACGGTGTGCTTATCGGACCTCACTTTGATAGGACAGCTGTATTCATATGATCTTGTGACGGCGTTTTGGAGTTCCTCCACGGCCCTCTCAAGATCATATGTGTTCCTTAGTTTTGTACAGATTTCCCTAGTCCTGGCCTGTAACTCCGTTCTATAGGAGTCCCAGTCAGTTCTTTTTGGGTCTCTGTAGGTTCTTACTTGCGGATTATAATCCGTTATAATTTCAAAGTGGATATGTCTATGATCCGACATTGACGGCTCATTCGACACATGCCACCTCGCAATATTATTACATATCGGTCCCGATCCCACTGTTATATCGATGACTTCACTTCTATTTTTTATAACAAAGGTGGGCTCGTTCCCGACATTCAAAATCTCTAGATTATAACTAAAAAGAAAATCTAGTAAAGACTCACCTCGATCGTTGACATCGCTGCTTCCCCACACCGTATGGTGTGAGTTAGCATCACATCCCACGATGAGTTGTTTCTTCTCCTTCTCGCACCAGGCCACCAGGTCCCTCAGTTCCCTGGTTGGAGGAGATTCTTTCTTATCGTAAGGGAGGTACGCTGAGCAAACTACCAGTTGTCTCTGCGTTCCCTCCGATACATAAGTCACTTCGGCCGCCACCAGGTCATCCGTGCAGAACCCTGGAAGAGGAAAAATATTAATACTACTCTTGTAATAAATACAAGCTCTAGGTCTAGTTTGGTGGCCACAATACAGTAAGCCACCATTACTTACCTGCAATCCTCTGATCCGGGATCCATGTACCCAAGGCTCCTGGATCAAAGCTAAATCCGCATTTACGCGCGCCACACTGGCACAGAGAGCAGCAGATGCCGCTCTACTGTGCTGAATGTTCGCTTGTATTACCTGGAATTTGACCAGATAATACAGATTTTGGTCCCTCCTGATCTTCATCAGAAGGTCCCAAATCTACCCTGCCCTTCTCCAGGTTCCTAAAAAGGACCCTGGTGAAGTTCAGAAATGGTCTGAAGCCCTCCTTCTGAAGTACCTTCACACTCATCTCATCTACTGAGAGGACTAGGGTCTGGCCCTTCTCCTCAACCTTGCGGTTGATTAGCCTCCAGGCCCCCGTCCTCAATTCCCCGTTCTGGTTTTCCAGACGGCGCATGATGGTTTCCGGTTCATCAGGATGACCCGGAATCCACACGATGAACTTAGTGAACTTAGGTAGGTCCCTAGGCTCAACAGCGCTGAGTCTAGCCCCCTCCCAAGGCACCAAGCTCGCCGTGGTCGTCTTCAGCCATTGCAGGCTCTCCTCGTTGAAGGCGGTGATCGCTAGCGTTCCCCCCCTTCGACGACACTCCAGGAAGCGCGGTCGTGTACCCTCGCCCGCGATCCCATCAATGGCCCCCAGAAGCGCCGACTGGACAAGTCCCATCTGGTCCTCATCCATTCGGACCTCCGGGTATCCATGGGGGACCACCACTGCTTGGATCCCCGACAGCGCCTCCCCGTAAGTCTTGCCACGCTGTCCCGTGGCCTTAGGCCTCTTGGAAACAGGCCGGTCGGAAATCGGCTCACTACCGTCCGACCGTCCACGTTTCTTCCCGAGTCCACTTGGCCCCGGTTCAGCAGCCTGCGGAGTTAGAGTGGTACTTGAGCCAGGTTCCGTCACCGGCCCCTGTCCTTTTCCCGCCTCTGCCTTCCGCAGTTTTTTAAGTTTGCGCTTTTGCGCACCAGACAATTTCTTCCTACCTTCCAGGTTCAGTCTGTCGACTCCCCTAGAGATAGTAGTCACTGGTGTTTGCTTCCCAGTGGCTGTTTTATTTTCCGCCTGGTCAGCAATTACTGCTTCCCCGGCGGATGTTGACGGCCCCCTTTCGGGTTCCCGTTTTTTTGATTTATGGTCCATAAAGGTCCCACGAGTCTGGAGGAAATAAAAGTCACCGCCAGGTAGTGCCCCATGCCTGACGGAAGGCTAAATACGATGGGGTGCGCCAGGTTCCCCAAAGAGATCGTTTGCGATGCGACATTTTTACCTACCCCCGCACCATTCAGCCCTCGGCACGATGCGTTTCCACCTTGGCTTGGGTAGCTGAGCTGTTTCTTAGTTTTCACTACTCTCCCTCGACCTTTCCGGCTTGGGTGACCCTGCCAGGAGTATAAAACTCCCGCCGGTTTAGCTCTTGGGTTCACTGTAGCTACTTAAGCCCCTCCACCAGCGACAAGGTCATACAGCTCCCAGGGGGGTAGACAAAACATTAGTCTGCATTGTATAGTTTTTATAGAATTTTTCTGTCTTATTTACTATTAAAAACAATAAAAAATTTTTTTTTCAAGATTTTATTCTTGGTTCATGCAAAGGTACAGTCACAGAAAAAATATAACGTAGCTTACTATGTCTAGTATTACTACCAAAAAGTGCATAAATATAAAATGGGTGCAACACTATAAAAAAAAAATTAAAACTTCTTATGACCATCTTAGGTACTAATGACTTCCCATTTGTGACACCATTAGCATATGTTTGTTACTCAAAAATATATTAGATAGTAGTTAAAATTGTAAGAAAGACTTTGATTTTGACATAAACCGATGAAAATTGTTTGGGAACTACAACGTTTTTAGGGAACAAGACGAAACTTGTCGCTTTCCAGCTAGTCGCGTGTGTGCATTGTGTTTTGTTTATCTATCATTTTATGCCCCCACCACTATAGTAGCTCGATTTCAATTATCGTGTGCGGATTGTTTCGGATTATTAATTTTTTTTAAAGTTAAACTGTTTTATTTGCACTAGCCTCCGGGTTTTGGTTTGATTTACCTATTTTATTTTATTTTTATTTATTTTGTTTTGTTTTATTTTTGTTTTGTTTTGTATTTCTTTATTTTATTTGTTTTATTTTGCTTTGGTTATTTTATTATTTTGTTTTATTTTATTTTGTTTGTTTTTATTTTATTTTTTTTACTTTATTTTTTTCAGAAGACAATTTTTTGATCGTTATTGTTGCAGTGGAACGGCCTCTGCTTCTTTCTTCGTCGGCGAAACCCCTCTGGACGGCTACTGTGTAGTGGTTGATTTTGAATTTTGTTAAAATAAAACACAGAATTTTTGTTGCTTGTAACGTGTGAGCTGGTTGTTTGAAACGTGGAATTTTTTGTTGTAATATTGAATCGTAGACGGTGATTTGACTGCTTAGTTGCGAATTCTTTTTGTCAAACTTGATCTAGAGCGAAGTTACTTGAATAGGGTGTTGATAATGATCGGAGCGCGGCCGGATAGGTTGCAAACAACTAGCTCACACGTTACAAGCAACAAAAATTCTGCATTTTATTTTAACAAAACCCAAAATCAACCACTACATAGTAGCCGTCCAGAGGGGTTTCGCCGACGAAGAAAGAAGCAGAGGCTGTTCCACTGCAACAACAACGATCAAAAAATTGTCTTCTGAAAAAATAAAGTAACACAAAATAAAATATAATTACAAACAAAATAAAATAAAACAAAATAAGATAAAAACACAAAACAAAATAAAAAATAAACAAAACAAAATAAAACAAATAAAATAAAGCAAAACAAAACAAAAATAAAACAAAACAAAATAAATAAAAATAAAATAAAATAGGTAAATCAAATCGAAACCCTGAAGCGAGTCCAAATAAAACAGTTTAACTATAAAAAAAATTAATAATCCGAAACAATCCGCACACGACAATTGAAGTCGAGCTATTATAGTGGTGGGGGCATAAACATTATAGATAAACAAAACAAAATGCACACACGCGACTAGCTGGAAAGCTACAGGTTTCGTCTTGTTCTCTAAAAACGTTGCAGTTCCACAAACAATTTTCATCTGTTTATGTCAACATCAAAGTCTTCCTTACATTTTTAAATAACAGGTGTCACAAATGGGAAGTCATTAGTACCAAAGATGGTCATAAGAAGTTTTAATTTTTTTTTGATAGTGTTGCACCGGTTTTATATTTATGCATTGTTTGGTAGTAATACTAGACATAGTAAGCTACATCATATATTTTTTCTGTGATTGTACCTCTGCGTGAACTAAGAATAAAATCTTGAAAAAATATATTTATTTTTTTTTAATAGTAAATAAGACAGAAAAATTCTATAAAAAATATATAATGTATGTGAGGCTGAATTTGTATCAATGGTAGATTTATATCTCGCCGATGTTACCATGGAAGTCATTTTCAAAATACCTTTCTGGGGCCGCTGACCTTATCTTATCCTGCTAGACCCTTTATCCTAAGTTGCTAGAGGGCAAGATTATATTGAAATTTGGTACATTAATACTTCTACATTGATGTTACTTCATGACATACTAAATTCCTTTAAGCTAATCTGCTCATAATTTTGTCAGAAGTTATGATAGGTATAGCTTTTATTTGTTTTGTCTTAAAGATGATGGGTTTGTTAAGAAAATTCCCTCATAAAATGATTGTATTTTTAATAGTTCTGTTAATTATTTTTTTTATTAAGTCATTGCATCTTCCATTCGAGCTTGAACAATTAGGTCGTAAATATTTAGGCTGATGTCAGTCATAAATAAATTAAGCAAGATGGCCCTAAGACGGAACCTTGAGCAACACCTGGATAAACTGCGTTTGCCTCATTTTTTATGTTTAGTTATTGTTATCATTACCTTTCGTTTTAATTGTATTAAAGAATTGTCGAGTTGAATCCTTTTATTTATGCTTAATAACATTTATGCACTTTAAACAACGAACATTCAATTATTTTCCAACGACTACTTGATCTTTCCACCGCTAATGTGATTTTAGGTGGTATTTCTTTTGCTACTTTTTAGGACGATATTGCTTATAGGTAACTTTTAAACGGAAAGTAATACAGAAAAATTTCTGTAATAAAAGTTTATTAGAAAAAAGAGAGCTTTTTAATAGGAAAAAAAATTGGGTATGTTTCTGGAAAAAATATGTACCTATAATTGATGACATCATTAGTCATTTCTATCAAATCCCAGAGATAATACTTTCGATTGAAAATGAAGCTTACCTCATCCCATTTAACACCACGTGTCCCAAATTTTATTTAAATTTTTTGTTTTCTCACAATAGGCCCATACTATCGAGTTTGAGACAACCTCTACAAAATCGATCAAATTTAAAGTCAAGTAAAAGAAAAACAGTTTATCCAGTAACAGATTACAAATCTTTTGACTTATCCAAGAGTTCTGATGCATGTTGATCAATATATACTAGATTTGTTACTGTTGATCTCTGTCGTAAAGCCATGTTCATTTGAGGAAATTAGGAATTTGAAATGAAATTAAAGACGATTTCAAAAAATTTACTGAAAATAGAGAAGATTGCTACACTTCTAATTTTCACTCAGGTTATTGCCATCTTTCTTAAAAATTGGTTAAAAGATAATAAAGACCAGTTGAGAATAAACGTTAAAGGTCTAAGACATTAACATAGTACTTTAGAAAAAAAAACGCTATAATTAATTGTCCATATATTCCTATTTCTTACAAAACTAAATATATTTTATGAATTTTAAAATGTTATCAAACAAAATACGTACATTGAAACGCCATGCTTTCTTTATTATAAACAGCATCGCCTTCGATCGGTGCTAAATTTTTATTTTATTGGCGTTTGTATTTTATATTTGTCTTTTTAATGGATATTTTATTATCCTTTCAATATGGATTTTATTGTTCCAGCTACAAAATTCAGATAAAAAATATATGGAATATATACAATGTGATTTATTAGAATCTGGCGTATATAACTGTAAAACTACGGGCAGGTTAACCTTAACAATCTTGGGAGCCAGGAGATACTGATACAGATCTTGGTCAGCAGCGCATCAGTTATATGTGCATACGTATTAATTCATATTGAAATATAGAAATTTAAGAATGACAAGTTTTATTTCTCAAGAATATTGGGTTGTATTAATAAAATGTAATACCTATATGCTAGGCCTTTATGAAAATAATTTATTGAGCAATTTCTGTTATTTTCAAAGAATGTTCGCCCACTAAGGGAATATAATATACTCCAATGCAAAGGAAATACCACTCAGTCATAGTCTTTTCTGCTATTGACAATAATTGCATACTCTGCATTTTGGTGATGCATGTATTGGCCTCCTGGAAACTATAAGATAGAAAAATGGTTCAATGGGGAAAGTTTTAAACAGTTCTGTTGCTAACTAAATGACGTTTACAGATCGATCCTAGCTCTTCAGGTTTTTGAGTTACTTAAAAAAAAAGTAAATGTGGCATTTTCGAAACTCGCCTGTAACTTCTTTATTTAGAGGAATTTTTAAAATTTGAAAACACTTTTTCATAGCAAATCTATTCGAGTAATTTCACTGTATATTTAGATTATCATTGTGACGTTTCGGTTGCGAGAAACCATCATCAAATTTTTGTAAAAGCTTATCATTGATGTCATGATGGCGTTGAATGAAAAAATGGTAGTAATGGCCACGTGTTTACGAAGAAAAGCCCCATTAGTAGTCTATGAATCTCTATGACGAAAATAATAGTTTCATCTATTTCAAGATGCTTGAACTATTGTTAATTATAGAATTAATGGTTAGTAGTTAGAGTGACACTTGTTTTAAAATTGGCAAAATGGCTTTGCGTTATTCCAATGAAGAAAAATATTACTATTGTCCCAGTCATTATTCTCTTCCATAGTTCTTAACATGTAGCTTTTCAAAACTTCCAAATATTCTTAAATTTCTAATAAAATTAGAAAAATACATTTCATTTGGTGGTTGTCTTTCCGTATAATTTCCAATATAACTGCTTAAACCCACAGCTGATTTTCTATTATTTTTAATAAAGCGCTCCAAACATATCACATTTTTCCTCATTGGAATAACTCAAAGCGTAATTTTTTCACTCAATGCCATGACATTAATGATAAGCTTTTACAAAAACTATTCTATAGTAGTTTAAAAAAATTATGCGGTGTTGCCAGATTTTCCCAAAATATTTAATTATTGATTTTTTGAAGTTTTTTTTTGGAAATTTTTTCTTATTTACCTATATTATATCATTGAAGCTTAAAATTCAGTATAGAGCCCATAAGAAAAAAGAAAGTTGATGATGGTTTCTCGCAAACGAAACGTCGCAATGAAAATTTAAATATGCAGTTAAATTCCTCAAAAACTTGATGTGAAAAAGTGTTTTCAGATTTTAAAAATTCCTCTAAATAAATAAGTTACAGACGACCTGAAGAAACCGGT